GCGGCGGCGGCGGCGTGTGGCGCTCCATCGAGAAGCCGCCCGCTGCCAGCCTGGCGCCCGCCGCGGGCGGCGCAGGCGCCGGCCCGGCGGTGCAGCAGCGCGCCGCCGATCGGCGGCTGCCAAAGTTCGAAGAAGAAGAAGAAGGAGAAGGAGAAGAAACAGACAGAACAAAAAAAAGCTCTCGGAGAGGAAACATCGGGCCGAGGGAACCGGGGGGGTACAACATCTGCCGCTCGCCGCGGGTCTCGGCCCCGCCGCGGGGCTCAGTTCTCGGCACAGCGGCTCCGGGGGGCGCAAGGAAAAGCAGCCACGCGTGAGCTGATTCTCAGGCCCCCCCTTTGCTCTGTCTCCCCCTGTCGCCCAGCCCGGGCCGCCGATCGGCGATGGGCAAAGCTCGAAGAAGAAAGCACATGGCAGAAACAGAAACTTTTGGCGCCCCGCGCTGGGGCGCCCTCGGCGGTGCCTCCGGCGCCGCCCCTGGCGCGCTCCGCGCGCCAGGCAGGGGGGGCTGGCGCAGATCCAAGGAATCCGCGTGGAGCGCCAAAAGTTTGTGTTTACGGTGTTTTTTTTGTTCTCCCCAGGATCGGGCCGGGCGACAGGGCAAGATGGGGGCCCAGACCCCTCGGGCCACGACGAGAGTCATGGCGGGAGGTGCTTCACTGTGGTCGACCTCGGGAGGCCCTCGCTGGGTCCCGGGACACCGTCAGACCACGATTCGGGACGAGACACCGGTGCCGGGGAGGGGGTCGTCGAGGCCTCGAAGGGTCGGCGCCAGGAAAAACGCGCGACCGTCGGGGCTTTGGGGAGATCTCGTCCTCCCAGATGGGGTCGGAGCAGACTGGGTCGGAGGATCCCGCCGTATCGCCGATGCATTGCCGATGCGGCTCGATGCGGGGCCCGATTTGCCTCGCGCCGACCTCGCCGATGCACCGCCGACGTCGCCGATGCATCGCTGGTGCATCGCCGCTGCATCGCCGACGCATCGTCGATGCATCGCCGATGTATCGGCGATGCGGCGCGATCATCCGACCCCATGTACTCCGACCCCATCTACGACCTCAACTCAACCCGAAGGCTTCAATTTGCCCTCCATTTCCAGTGGGGGGGAGGTCGAGGAGCATTTTGCAGTAACGCATGGAGCCCGTGCCCCCCCCCACCCCGAACTTCGGGTCAAGATCGGGTCTTCGGGTTGGGTTGGGGTGGTCTGGTAGATAGTCTTGAGTCGGGCCTGTCCCCCTACAGGGAGATTTTCGACGAAAAATACAAAATACTCCACGTAGATTCAAAAAATAGTACAAACATAGTCCAGGGACTATTTGTTGAGTATTTTTTGACCTTGGTTGATTATTTTTGGTGTATTTCTTGTATCTTTCGTCGAAAATCCCCCCGTAGGGGGACACGCCCGACTTACAGGCAGTCACGGAGGCAGAGAGGGGGCGGGGTACGACAGCTGCTGCACGCCGCTGGCTGCCGCCCCGCCGCCGGGCACGGGTCCTCGAGTCACCTGGGCGCCTCTTCCGGCGCCGGGAGGCGCCGAGGGCAGACCAGCTGTATAGTCGGGAGGGGAAGAAAGCACATACAAACACACACACACACACACATACGCACGCACGCACGCACGCACGCACGCACGCACGCACGCACGCACGCACGCACGCGCACACGCACACGCACACGCACACGCACACGCACACGCACACGCACACGCACACGCACACGCACACGCACACGCACACGCACACGCACACGCACACGCACACGCACACGCACACGCACACGCACACGCACACGCACACGCACACGCACACGCACACACATTCACACACACACACGCACGCACGCACACGCACACACACAGAGAAGACACGATTAACCGTCGACCCCCAGGAAAAACATAGGAAAAATGGGACGTGGGGGAGAAGACGAAACCCTCAAAAAAATATGCGGAACTATGGCAAATCCTCCTGTTATGTGTGTGTGTCCTTATTTGCGTGTCCCTGGGCCCCTTTTCTCCAGATGAGCTGATTCTCTACCCTGCCCTTTGCTGTGCTCCCCGTTCGCACCCCCAGAGGAGGGGCGGTTAGTCCTGGCTGGGGAACAAAAGATGACAGAAAGATGCTCAATCGAAGGTCCGCGCAGATTCTTCGAATCGGCGCTGGTGCCCGCCAGCGGCGCCTCGGGCGCCGCCCCTGGCGTACCTCGCGCGCCAGAGAGGGGGGTCCAGCGCGGATCCCTGAAATCCACGCGAACCTTCGAGCTTTTATGTGTGCGTCGTTGCTTGTTTCCGTACAGTCAGCCCGCATAGTTAGTAAGGATGGGCAACCTTCCGAAGGATACCCTTGCATCCTTGCCTCCTCGGTCCATTATTGGCCCGTTTCGTTGGCCGCGCCCCGCTCAAAAAGCTTCGAAATGGCCTTCCAAGGCCCTTGCACCCTTGCATCCATATCGCGCATCCTTCTGATACGGGCCGACTGTCAGCCAGGGCTCCGGGTAATGGGAGTCTTCTGCAGCCGGCGTTTCTTCGGGTGGCGGCAGTTCCGTTGAGCGGGATGGGGCGAGGGTGCGTCCCCTGGTCCGCATCGCTGAACCAGGTCCCACTAAAACCAGCCTTGCCAACACCCGAATAAAGGGTGTGGGTCCTCCCGATGTTATTGTTGTTGTTGTTGTTGCTGTTGTTGTTGCTGTTGTTGTTGTTGTTGTTGGTGTTGGTGTTGGTTTTGTTGTTGGTGGTGTTGTTATTGTTGTTGTTGTTGTTGTTGGTGTTGTTGAACATTATTTCTTCTTAAGAATAATTATTGTTGGGACCCCTGGTGCGCGACCCCCCTCCAAAACCTAGGCCGCAGCCTCATTTCCTTCATTTTCTAGCGAAAGCTTCAGAAAAGTGGATTGGTACCAGATCCGGTTGTTTTGTTGACGCCCGCTTTCCCTTGCAAAAAACACTATAAAATGAAATTTCTTGTTCAAATGTAATCAAATTTCAAGAATCCCTTGCAAAAAATAAGGTAAAGTTGACATTCGCGCGTGCAAGACGAAATCCTTCCAAAAGCTTAGGTTTCCTAACGATTTTAACATAAAAACATCAAAAACCCAATGGTTTTTTAAGAAAAAATTGTCAAAATGTCCTTCCGCGCGCGCTGTCCGAATCCCACAAAACCAATGGTTTTTCAACATTTATGTTACATGAGCTCGCGCGAGCTACTTTTTCTTGTTCTAACATAATCAAATTTCAATAATCCCTTGCAAAAAATAAGGTAAAGTGGACATTCGCGCGCGCAAGACGAAATCCTTCCAGAACCTTAGGTTTCGTAACGATTTCAACATAAAAACATCAAAAACCCAATGGTTTTTCAAAAAAAAATGTCCAAATTTCATCCCGCGCGCGCTGTCCGACTCCCACAAAACCAATGGTTTTTCAACATTTATGTTACATGAGCTCGCGCGAGCTACTTTTTCTTGTTCTAACATAATCAAATTTCAATACTCCCTTGCAAAAAAAAGTAAAGTGGACATTCGCGCGCGCAAGACCAACAAAAAACACGACGATCTCAGGAACTTGCCCCAAAAATGTGACCAACTCCGCTCTCTCTGTCTCTCTCTCTGTCTGCTCTCTGTCTCTCTCTCTGTCTGTCTGTGTCATGTATTGTATGTCACAATTGCAGGATGCTGGGCACACGCGCGCCCCGAATAAGTGACCAAGTTCTGTGGGTGTGTACCCCACGCCAGTGTAGTAGCCACGGTCGTCCGCACGCCACGAAGTGAAGTGTCCCAACGTCATAGGGCGGGAAGCTGGGTTTGGGTGGTCGCGAAGAGTCGTTTGGATATTTGGTAGAGCTTGAACTGCCCCCCCACGAAGTGGGGGTATTGTCTCGCGTCGCATGAAAACCCTGGCACTGGTGAGAACACTGAGCGTTCGGGTAAAATGATTGTTGTTGTTGTTGTTGTTGTTGTTGTTGTTGTTGTTGTTGTTGTTGTTGTTGTTGTTATTGTTGTTAGTGTTGGTGGTGTTGTTGTTGGTGTTGTTGTTAGTGTTGTAGGTGTTGTTGTTGGTGGTGGTGGTGGCGGTGGTGTTGTTCTTGGTGTTCTTGTTGTTCGATGGATTATCCAAGTTATCCGCCATATCAAGCGGTGTGCGCTCAGACCAGGAGTACAGAGCGGTGTGCTTTCAGAGCGGCTTTGCTGCGTTCCTGCTCTGACCGCCCACCGCTTCATGTTGCAGAAAGCTTGAGGTATCCATTTCACACGCGGTTTGCGATCTGCGTCTTTGTGGCTTGGGGCGTAGTGGGCACAGCGATGCCCTCGTTGGGCCTCTTCGGGGCGCGGCGGAGCAGTCTGTCGAGGTCGCAGTCTGTCGGCGTCGCCGATGCGGCGCGATCCTCCGACCCCACCTTTTCGGGCCGCTTCTATCTGGAGGGGAAAAACACACAGACACAATTCATCGTCGATTCCGCGGAAAATATTGGAAAATATGGGAAGTGGGGGGGAAGACAACAACCCAGAAAATATGGGAAAGTATGGGGGACATTTTTATTTGTGTGTATTTATTTGTGTGTCCCAGGGCCCCTTCATTCTAGCAGCCCCGCGGCTGCGGTCTCGGAGGTTGTCCGCGGTGCTCGGAGGAGGTTCGATCCAGATGGTGGGCGCAAAAAGGGCCTCCCTCGTCGCCGGGGCCGGGCGCGGACCGAAGCAGTTTCAGGGGGGAAAAAAACACGCAGACACAATGAATCGTCGACTCCCCAGAAAAGATGGGCAGATATGGGAGGTGGGGGGAGGACAACACCCCAGAACACCTGGGAAAGTATAGGGGGAATCCTGTTGTTTGTGTGTATTTGTTTGTGTGTTCGTGGGCCCCTTCGCGTGTGCCAGGTCTCCACCCCGGGAGGCGTCTGGGCCTGGGGGCGGTCTGCGCAGGGTTGCCCCTGTCCCCCCTGTCGACCCCTCGTCTTGGGGCCCATGCAGCTCAGACCATCCAGTCGCCTCTCAGGACGGGAACAAAACACACAGACACAATCAATCGTCGACTCCCAGAAAATATGGGCAAATATGGGAAGTGGGGGGGAAGACAAAAACCCAGAACATACAGGATCATGTGGGACAAATCCTGATATTTGTGTATGTGTGTTTATTTGTGTGTGCCAGGGCCCCCTTCAGCCTCCTCCAGCCAGGAGGCTGTCTCGTTTCGGCATGCTTCCCAGAGCGCCCGCAGCCGCGGCTCAAGCTTGCTGCGGCGCAGGTCTCCCGTGGCCCAGACACGCCAATCAAACTGCTGGTCGAAAGGGCCACCTCGAGTGTGCAGCGCGCGATGGGCGCCGGCATGTCGATACCGCGTAGGGCAAGAGCGTGTGCTTCGGCAAGCTGTGCGGGACGAGCCGTGCTTCCTGTTGCGTTTCCCCTTCCGATGGCCGCGCAGTGTCAGCCCTTGAATTTCGAGAAGCAGCAGAAGTTTCACTCAGTTCCCGTGAATGCGGGACGGAACTCTTCACAATATCATTCGCATGATCCCAGCTCCGAAGGTGTGGAACGTGTACTTCTGGAGCCGCCTGCAATGATGCAGCATCAACTCACGAAAGAAAGCAAACGACACATCGTGCTTTTGGGTTTGACAGGTGCTGGGAAGTCCGCGACGGCGAATGCGATAACATTCTCTCGAGACTTCTTCCACGTGAGTGACTCAATGGCAAGCGTCACTTCCAAAGTTCAGTACAAGGACTTGAACAAACACAGCTACAGGGCAGTTTTTTTTTCCCCGCATGGCTTCCTCCCGCAGAGTACCGTGTCATTGATACGCCCGGCTTTTTCGACACGGCCATGACGAATGAGCGGGTGGGTGAAGCTCTCAAAACTGAGTTCGATGCGTTGCCTGAGCGGAATCTTGGAAGGCAGATTTCCGACGTCGTCGGCGGCCGGATCGTCTCTATTGGCCGCTCTCGCGATCCCAAGGGCATCTACAAGCAGGTCGAGGACATGTTTGTTCGGATCAACTACTGCGCTCTGGATTGCGAGATGATGAATTTTGAACGTCTCCAGCTGCAGCGACAGCAAGAGTTTGAGGAAACCACCCGTGCTTTGCGTGAAGCGCACGCAAACGAAAAAGAACAGTTACAGTACAAGCTCAGGGAGATGGAGATGGAGATGCGCCAGGCCTCTCACCTGAATGATGGAAGGCTCGCGGAAATCCTCAAAGGAGCTGCTCAAATCAGCGCAGGAAATTGTCAATTCCTTCACGGCTTAGGGGCAGGAGCTGGTCAATTTATGCAGGGTCTTGCTGCGCTCAGTCTGGCAAGTGGCGCTATGGCAAGTGGCGCCTGCAGTCTCATGTGACCCGTTGGGAGCGTGTGCTGTGTTACGCAAGGACTTCTAGTCTTGCTGTCACCAGTGTCGAGTGAGCGATGCCAGGAGCTGTTCGGATGTAGCAGATGGCCCCACTCGTTAGTTTTTCCTCGAGTAGTACTCGCAAGAGACGCCATCGGGTGCGTGCTGCCATGAAGTGCTCGGATGTAGCAAATGGCAACGCTCGCCAGCTTACAGCAGCGTATTTGAGACAAGCGACAGGCAGCATAGCTATGTGTTGTAAACGATATCTGGGACTGCAGGGTCCATTCCGATTCTATCGTTCCGATTCGATGCCGAGTTTGACTGGCTCGATCCGATTCGGTTCGGTGCTTGCAGGGCGCTGTTGTGAATCCCAGCGCGGCCAATCCGATTCGTTTTCGATTATGTGCCCGTGTAGCTCTGTCTGGCGCAGGTGTTCTGATCCGATGTCGATCGACTCTGCCGCGCTCCCAGGTTCGTCTTTTCTGCGCCCTGAGGCCTGTTCTCGTCGCTGGCCTCCCAGAGCCCTTTCCCGACCCCAGGACTTGCAGACAACGGCTCCGGATGAACCGCACCGTCGGCTGCGAGAAAATCGGCCACGCGCAGAGGGGGGTATAGGAGGAGGGGGGAAGGCTTCCTAGAAGCACCCCTGCTTCTTAGAAGGCCCCGGCCTTACGTCTATAGACGTAAGGCCGGGGCCTTACGTCTATAGACGTAAGTGCTGGAGGGCGCCGGAAGAGGGGAGGGGATGAGGGGAGGAGGAGGGGGAGGAGGAGGAGGAGGAGGAGGAGGAGGAGGAGGAGGAGGTGGAGGTGGAGTACGTGGAGGTGGAGGACGAGGAGGAGGAGGAGGAGGAGGAGGAGGAGGAGGAGGAGGAGGAGGATGTGGACGAGGAGGAGGAGGAGGAGGAGGAGGTGGAGGAGGAGGAGGAGGAGGAGGTGGAGGTGGAGGGCAGCGAGGGCTGCTGAGAGGGGGCCCTCTTCAGGGCCCGCCTTCGCGGCCCCTGAGAGGGGAGCCTTCAGGGGCCGCGAGGGGCACTGCTCCCCCCCCTACTTCATCGCCTCCTTGGTGACTCGCGCCCAGCAGGGTCCGCGTCTCAGAGCCCCAAATCATCAGGGGTAACTCGGGTCAGGGCTAACTCGGGTTCGTGTTTCGGAGTCCGAACCCGAGTTACCCCGGGCCCGAATTACCCCGGAAGCTTCGGGCGCCCAGAGCCCCACATCATCAGGGATAACTCGGGTCAGGGCTAGCTCGGGTTCCTTTTTCGGAAACCCAAACCCGAGTTACCCCGGACCCGAGTTACCCCGGATAATTCGGGAGCCCAATCCTTGGTGACTCGCGCCCAGCAGGGTCCGCGTCCCTGCCCCCCGCTCCTGCAGCTGTGATGGCAGGAGTGGAGCAGGGGAGCGGCGGGAGAGTTGTTAGTCTTCGTCTTCTGGGCCATGACGCGCGCTGTGCCCCCTGAGGTTCGATGTCTCAAGCGGGGACCTGCTAGCCTGCCGATTTCCACCGATTCGACTTCTCCCGACTTGGCTGCCGTTGACTGCCGATCTGATTCATGCCAATCGCCGATCCGACTTATCGATCCGATTCTGGGCTCTCCTGCCCCAGAACGTGACGCTTCCCCCCTCAGTGCGTTCCTGGCGCTGCCGCAGTGCGTCAGGCACCACAGTCTGGGGGCGGGGGCGCTACGTGACCCCCCCCCTCGCCCCCCCCCCCCCCCCCCCCCCCCCTCCCCACAAAACGGCCGTTATGGCCGCGAATCGAAGAATGCGCTCCAGCAGGTCAGCATTAGCAGTCGCGTGCGCAGTGACCGTTGGTCGCAGTGGGTCAGAATGAGCATCGTCGTACACAGCCTGGTCGGCAGCACACGTGCCGCAAGAGCTTCGAACAAGCGCAGATGCAGGGAACCCGCCAGATTGCGCTGGCAACACATTCGAAATTGAGTGACGTACATAGTATGATCGATAGTTGCCGACACCATATTGGGAGACGGTCGTACCAACCTTGTGGAAACAGACCAACAGTCATAACGTGCCGTTCTGCCACAGGAGGAAATATCACAAGGCATCAGATCGAGAGTATCATGAACTCGTGAATCAGGGCACGAATGGAGATTGAGATTAGGTCCCCAAGCATGAACGCACGAATTACCAACCTGATTGATGTAGAAGTCACATTTCGCCTTGGCAGGAGGCAACATCTTCACACTATTTCAACAGGGGTGACGACGACTGGAAGGTGCAGTGTCAGCTGAAATGGACCAATAAGAGATTGGGGCCAACACATTGGATCAGCTAAACTGCGTGAGTCGTGTGTCGAGACTGCAGAGGCACTGAAAGCACTACGCGCAAGTGACATCTCGTGCAATCCACTGCGCCAGAACTAGGGGAACGAAGAATGACATAAACATAACAACTCTGAGGTCCGTGCGGATTTCTCGGATCGGCGCTGTATCCCTCTCCCTGTCGCGCGGAGCGCGCCAGGGGCGGCGCCGGAACCGCCGCCAGGCGGGTCCAGCGCGGATCCGTGAAACCCGCGCGGACCTCTGAGTTTTTATGTTTCTGTCATTCTTCGTTCCCCTCACAGCAAAGCACGCTGAGCAGACTGCACGCTTCGGGTTGACCCACAGGGGGGTCCAGCGACAAGGGGCTGGTGCAATAGATATGGTGCGCTAGATCTGCTGGGTTGCATGCCGTTTCTCATGACAGTGCAGTGCAGTTCTCTGGCGCAGTACATTTGCAATACATTTGCCCCAGATCTAATGCACCACCCCCCTTCAGCTGGACCCGCTTCGGGGTCGCCCAAGACCTGGTCCACCCGTGTGGACGCCAAGAGAGAGTCGAGCTCCGGGCGCCGTGGCCCAGGCCAGAGCGGCCGCCTGCTCGTCCATCGGGGGGCCCGGGGGGTCGAGTCTGCTTTGAGTCGGGCGTGTCCCTCGACAGGAGGAACTCCTCCTCTCCTCTTCCTCCTCCTCCTCCTGCTCCCATCCTCCGTACCCTCTTGGCTGAAGACTCTTACCCGGCATCGCACGCAATACGTGTTCAACCGCCTCGCTTTTCATATACAATCCGCCATGATGGCGGCAGGTCAAAAGGCGCGCTTGACCGCCTTCGTGATGGTGATGGCCGCGAGATCGATCCACGCCGTCGTTTTCTTCGCCCCACGCAGCGCCCTGGGACCGACGCCTGCACCTACTCAGGGTCCAATATCGCCACCAATGACGTCTGCTCTGATTGAGCCCAAGTTGCGGGCCACATCGACGTGGACAGCATTGGGGCAGGGCGTATGCCGCCGGGGCAATGGACGATCGCCAGGTTGCGTGAGGAAAACGACATTTCCTTGCCTCAGCCGCGACCGCTGCAAAATGCTTTGCGCATCCGCGGAGTGGTGTCAGGCTGCCATGGCGGGCGGGTTTTGCTTTTTGTATCTTTTCGACTCGGCGGTCGTGGAAGCGTATCGCGATCCGAGCGTCAGTTGGAACAATCATTCTTAAGCGGGTACGGCAATACATGCGGTGCGCCGGTTACGACTTCTTCGAAGCCCGTCTATTCAACTCATTCCGACCAGTGTTTCGTGAAGGCAACGCCAGCGACGACATCGGCGGCGACCTATCACATAATTGCTGGCGGAAATTGCCCCGCTTCTGAGAGGATTTGGGACACGGCGGAGTGCGAGAGCGCTGTTGCATCGCTAGGTAGTGATGCGTCTGCGAGGGGAGACCGGACAACGGGTACGTGGGCTTGGACGCCGCCAGGATGCTGGGTTGTTGCGCCCAATAGTGGAATTTACTGGCGTCACGACCCACAACGCGTCCGCCAACGACGGCCAGTACACAGCGATCTGCCGTGAACAACGCCGGCACCGACTGCTGCGCCACCGACGCCCGCGCCAACGCCTGCGCCCACGAGTGCACCAACACCAGCACCCACGCCAGCACCAACGCCAGCGCCTACGCCGGCACCGACGCCAGCGCTGACGCCAGCGCCCACTACCGCGCCGACGCCTGCACTGACCCCAGTACCGACGCCCGCGCCAACGCCTGCGCCCACGCCTGCACCAAGACAAGCGCCCACGCCAGCAGCAACGCCAGCGCCTACGCTGGCACCAACGCCAGCGCCGACGCCTGCGCCCACTCCCGCGCCGACGCCAACACCGACCCCAGCACCGACGCCCGCGCCAACGCCTGCGCCCACGCCTGCACCAGCGCCAGCGCCAACGCCAGCACCAACCCCTGCGCCTACGCTAGCACCAACGCCAGACCCTACGCCGGCACCAACACCAGCACCGACCCCGGTTCCCACGCCGGCACCAACGCCGGCACCTACACCCCCAATGCCTGCACCAACGCCAGCGCCTTCTTCCGCGCCGACGCCAGCGTTTGAGCCTGCGCGTGCTTTGCTACTCGTCGAGGCTGATGCCAGGCGTATGGGTGGCGTGTGTTCTGTTTTCTTCCAGGTCGTGACCACATTTGGGTTATGGACAAACCAAAGCAGGCCAATAAAATTCTTTGCGAGCCCGCACGGCACCCCCGAGGGAAGAAATCGTAAATATTGGATGCGTTTCGGGCCTGTCGACTTGAAGGTGACACTGCAGAAGAAGGTCACGCAGTACCTGAACGTGTACGCGCGTAATGTCGGCCACAGCGGGCACGAGGTCGGTGGGTTGCTCGGCCTCGACGACCACGACGCCGTAGCCGAACGGCCTCGCCAGTGTGCCCACCCACACGTTGCCGTGCTCGCCTCCTCGTTTGCGAAGGCGGCGGAGTGAGCAACAGTGGGCTAATTAATGTCTCTTCCTCGTGTTCTGCTCTTTCTCTTCGTTATGTCGTCCTTCTTCCCACCTTCTGGAACGAGCGAATACCTTCATCAAAATCCCACCAGCCCGCGGGCCTCTTGGTATGCCACTCGCGCGTTTGCATGTCAGGCGACCATTACATCCTCAACGCGCGTTTGGCGCAGCTCTCGGTTGGCGCGCATTTGGCGCGTTGACTGCTTCGCCGTCTGGTAAGAGACTTGCTCCTCCTGCTCCCATCCTCATCCCGTTCGAGACCCCACCAAATTACCACCCCAGCTGGGGATACGCCCCTCGAAACCCGAAGGGAACGGCCTATATCCCCATCCAGGGGGGTAAATCGGCCAGTGGGGCCTAGGCCACGCCGCTGGGGATGGGGATCGGTCAAAAACGATGCCCAGGAACATCCAAAAATAGTCAATCAACGAGTCTGGGGACGATGTTTCGATTTGTCGGATTTTGTTTTGAAAACTTTGAGTTTCTTTAGTTTTCTCCCAAAAACCTGTCTGTAGGAGGACATCCCCGACCTAAGCGTATGCTCCCGCCTCGCCGGGAGCTCGACATCCCCGACCTCCCCGACATCCCCGACGGGAGCTCGATCGGAGAAGACTTACCCTGGGGCCGCGCCTCAGATGCGGGTCGCGGAGCTCCTTCGTGGTCGTCAGGCCTGCTGTGGCCAGAACAGCGATCCGTCGCTCCTTCTTTTGCCTCCCATCTGGCAGCACGATTGCTGCATCATCCTCTTCTCCCTCCTCATCCTCCCCTTCTTATATATCTCTCTATATAGGTATACATCTATACATATATATATATACATATATACAAGTGGCACGTGTGTGCCCAGGCTCATACAAAAAACTGAAGGGGCGTTTGAAGCAGGAGTGAAATGCAACATCGAAGTCGCACTCGAGCGCAAGTGGGGTTGCCACACCTTGCGATGTGTGTACCAGGGCCCCCCAGGAAGCCTTAGGAGGCCCGACTTGGATACCAGAAGAGGCTCCAGGAGGCCCCAGGATTGTGAGTGTTGTGCGTGTGTGTGTGTGTGTGTGTGTGTGTATGCTTCGTGTGGTGCGTGCTTTTTGTGTGTTGTAGGTGTTGTGTGTGTGTGTGTATGTTTGTCTAGCGTGTGATGTGTTGGGCGTGATTTGTGTCTCTGTGTGCATGTAGTTCTGAAGCCCCAGGAGGCCCCAGGAGGCCCCAGGCGGCCTCAGGAGGCCCCAGGAGACCCCAGGAGGCTTCAGGAGGCCCCAAGAGGCTCCAGGAGGCCGCAGGAGGCCCCAGGAGGCCCCAGGAGGTTTCAGGACACCCCCAGGAGGCTCCGAGGCGGGGTCTGGGGTGCCAGAAGGTTCAGAAGGCCCAGGAGGCCCCAGGAGGCCCCCAGGAGGCTCCGAGGCGGGGTCTGGGGCTCGATTTTGGAAGGATTTTTCAAGCGAAACCGCCATTCACTGAGAATCGGGGTCACAATTATTGAAATTACCATGTGTGTTTGAAGGTTTTATGTTAAAATGTTGAATTTCCCATGTGTTTTTGGACCCTGACGTCGCGATCTGCGTGAGGGGTGCCACCGATTTTCAGAATTTCGAGGATGTCCCGAGCGAAACGCCCAGAAAAATCGCGGACGCGTGCGCATTAATCGCCTCTGAGCTCTACTCCCTCGGAGAGGTGCGTATGAGAATATATATATATATATATATATATATATATTATATATATATATATATATATATATGTATAGCCCCCGTCCGCTGGAGCCCCTGAGGCAGCATGCTTTTCTTACTTCCGTCCGTTCGTGTATCCATCCTTCCCTTCTCAGACAAGCGAGGTGCCATGATCATGATACGCTTCAAGGAGCCCGTTTCTTTATTGCTTTGGGCATGACGGGCGTCATGGCCCCCGCTCCCCCCTCCCCCCCATTTGACGTAACGCTTCCCCCCCCAGTGCGCTCTGGGCACTGCCGCCGTCCGCACTGGGATCCGCGTAGATGTCCGCGTAGGAATCCGCATGGGAGTCTTGTCCGCAGTGATCGTCGTCGTCGTCGTCGTCGTCGTCGTCGCTAGTGGGTTGTCGCTTTTCGCTCATAGTCGCCGTGCGCGCGGAAGCGGCAGAGGCCTGTTTTTTTTTATTCCGGGCCGATGACGGGGGTCGTTGACGTCACGTTTCGCGCTGGCGGCGTCTGGGAATGGTTAAGAGTGACGGAAGACGGGTAGCGCCAGCATGTAGGTGGCGATTTGCATCACAACGCTTGTGTACACCACTGTGCCTGCGTGCACCACAGCGCCTGTGTACACCACACCGGCTGCGTACACCACAGCAGCCGCGTGCAACACAGCGTCACTTTCAGCCACCGTGCCTGCGGGCACAACAACTCTTTTGCACACCGCAGCGCTTGCGTACACCACATCAGCCGTGTGCAACACAGCACCAGTGTACACCACAATGCCTGCATGTACTGTAGTGCCTATGTACAACACGGCGCCTGCGTGCAGCACAGCAACCGTGTGAGCACAGTACCACTGTTGTATATACAATGTTAGACCGGACCCTTATGACAAAACGGAGCTCTTGTGGATTCCATAGAAAACAGTAGCACAGAATAGGAGGAGGAGGAGGAGGAGGAGGAGGAGGATGGGGTGGAGGAGGAGGAAAAGGAAGAGGAGGAAGAGGAAGAGGAGGAGGTGGTGGAAGTGGAGGTGGAGGAGGAGGGAGGAGGCAATAACGTCGCATTCGGTTATCAGCACTTTCCTGGCGTGGCGTCTAGTTTTCCGCAGCAGATCCTCACGTACATGCTCCTTCTACTTGTCCTATGCACGCAGGCATTGTGGTGTACACCAGCGCTGCGTTGCACGCGGATGCTGTGGTGTAGACGCGCGCTGTGGCGTGCACAGGCGCTGCGGTGCACGCAAGCAAGGTGGTGTACACAGGCGCAGCGTTGCACATGGTAGCTGCGGGGTGCACATGTACACTGGCGCTGTAGTATACGCAAGCACCATGGTGTACACAGGCGCTGCGTTGCACAGTGTAATTGCGGTGTACGCAGGCGTTGTGGTATACACGTGCGCTCTGGTGCACGCAAACGTTGTGGTGTACACAGGCGCACTGGGGCAGATCGTTACCTACATGCTGCTCGCATCGTCGTCGTCGTCGCTCGTCGCTCGTCGCGTCGGGCGCGCGGGCGCGGCTGCGGTGCCGGAGACACGGCGCGGGGGGGGCGTTACGTCATACCCCCGTTTCGCACCCCCCCATGATGCCTGTCATCGCCGAACATGCAGAAACGCGCTCCAGATCCCCCACTTTTCACGGTTTCCCCAGATTCCCCAAGGGGTCACACAGGCTGCAGAAGCGAGGGCCGCTCCTTTCATTCCTGAAGCGCCTCCTGAGCCAGCTGCAGCATGGCAGCACTCTCTTCACACACCCCACAGGTTGGGGATGCCAGGCCTTCGGAGAAGCTCCGGCCCCCGCGCCGCCACCCTGCGCACCGCGGCCGCCAGTCCCAGAGTGTGCCGGTGCTCCCTGGGGATCCCGCCTCGCGTCCTCGACGGATGGGCCCCCGGGGCGGCGTGGTGCTGCTTGGGGCCCCCGCCTCGGCAGGCATGCTGCGTCGCGAGCGGGCTTCCCCGGGGAGTGAAGTGAGACCGAGGCGCCAGTCAGAAGCACGACGTGCTCTCTGGTCCCTTGCGCGGCGCCCGGGGGCCGCAGGGTGCCTTCCCTCCCGCCACTCCTCCGCCCGCAGGCAAGGGCGCCGTCCGGAGCGCCCTCGGGGACCTCCCGAAGGGGAAGGGCGGCGCCGCGAAGGCCCCGGGGCCCCGGGCCGCAGCCGCTGGTCCCGTCGCTCCCCCGCCGCTTCAGCCCCCTTGACCAAGCTTGCTCGGCTCGGGGGCGTTCAGTCAGGGGCAGCGAGAGGGGGGGTATGCATAGGGGCGGAGGCGTCGACCCCCCGATCGCCCATTGATCGCCGGCAGGGGCGCAAGAGCCCCACGCCGCCCAGGGAGGAGCGGAAGCTGCTATCGGGGGCCTGTCGCCGATGCATCGGCGAAGCATCGCCGATTTCAGGTCGGCGTTCCCCCCGCCCTGTCAGTACCCCCCCATCGTTGCCCCTCGTTCCAGAGGGGTGTGAGGTCCGAGGGGGGGGTCGGATGCAACTCCTGGGAGGTCAAATTCTGTTTTCGCCCTGGTCCGAAATCCGGCTTAACCCCGCTTAATCCCGCTTAATCCCGCTGCATCCGGCTGAATCCCGCTTAATCCGAGGCCCACTCCGGCGTAATAGCTCCCAGAAATGGGGCTCAATCCTCCTTCATCTTTCCGACGCAAACCTCCCAGTAGTTGCCTCCTAACATTTAGGAGGCCTCCAGGGGAAGTGAGGGGGTCCCGAAAGCGGTTGCACGGCAGCTTTGTTTCGAAGCCGCCGCCCGGCACAGCTCTCTTCTGGTTTCTCGGGGGAGGTGGGTGGCGCGCCGAGGGCACGGCAGAGTTGGCCACGTCGGTGGGGGCCCTGGTCGTTGCGTTACGTCGGGCGCGTCATGGCGCCAACACCGCAGAGCGGAGTCCGTTCGAAAGACAACGGCAGGGACCCAGACTGTCTTGGATAATCTCGTTCCGGATGTCGCAGTGCGTTTCGTGCGGATCACGCAAAAATTCGCTGCAGCACGTCTGCAAGGGTCGGTGCAGTGAGGCGGGTCAGGAGGAATATTCAAAAAGAGTAAAAAAGATAGTCTGGGGACGATTTGTTGTATTTTGACATTAATTGGTTTCGAGCATGTTTTATTTTCCATCCAAAATCCGCCTGTAGGGGGACATGCCCGACAAAATCGTTGCGGCTGGACAGAGCTCAACAATTGGCCAGGATCGGAGGTATCGTCAGTGCTTCGTTGGGGCTCAGGTGTGGAGACCTTTCGATGCTCAATGCTGCAATTCCGCACTCGAGGCTCAACTTCACAACTCCTTTGCTTGAATTGCGCTTGGATGTGTTGCTCCGCGGGGCGCGAGCGAGGCGCACTATTTGTCTCAGACGATTGCTCCTTTTGGGCAACTGCCTGCGCGAATGCAGGCAGCTCGACGACGACGAGGATCTGGAGGACGGGGGGGCGGAGGGGGTAAGGCTGGGTAGTCGACCCCCAGGAAAATATAAGAGAGCATTGGAAGTGTGGAAGACGACAACACCCAGAAGATACGGGAAAACGTGGGGAATCCGTTTATTTGTGTGTATTTATTTCTGTGTCCCAGGGCCCCTTTATCGGCAACGCGCAGAGGGGGGTAGGGGGAGGGGGGAAGGCTTCTTAGAAGCACCCCTGCTTCCTAGAAGGCGCGGGCCCTGTCTACAAATGTAAGGCCGGCGCCTTCTAAGAAGCAGCCTCCTTCTAAGAAGCCTTCCCCCCTCCCCCTACCCCCCTCTGCGCGCCGCCAACTTTAGCAGGTGGGGGGGAAGACGACAACCCAGAAGATATGGGGAAATGTGGGGGATCCAGTTATTTGTGTGTATTTATTTCTGTGTCCCAGGGCCCCTTTATAAAACAGGGCTAGGATCGGGATTAATCGCTCCAGAGCGTTCCGGAGCGCTCTCAGAGCGTTCCCGAACGCTCTGGAGCGGCCGCGGCGCCCAGTACATCCTCCAAACCCGCCGATTCTCAGAGATTTCGAGTTATCCCGATCCGATTTTGTCCCGATCCTCGCGTCGTTTTCCTTGAGCAGGTGCCCCCCGATCCGTGCTCGTGCGCCGAGCGGCCCCCCTCGCGGGCACGCCTCGGAAGCTGCCTGGCGTGCGGGGTGCCGAGGGGCCGCTCTCTCTCTCTCGAAGGGCGGCCAGGCTCCCGCTCTCGCCCCCCAACCCCCCCCTCGGGCCGGACGGATGGGGGGGGGCTTGGGGAAGGAGGAGGAGGAGGAGGAGGAGGAGGAGGAGGAGGAGGAGGAGGAGGAGGAGGGAGGAGGAGAGGCGCGGCGCGATCATAGATAGGGAGGATGAGGAGGAGAGGAGGAGGATGAGGAGGAGGAGAGGAGGAGGAGAAGGAGGGAGGAGGAAAGAAGGAGGAGGAGGGAGGAGGAGGAGGAGAAGTGAGGAGGAGGAGGAGAAAACGGATGGAATGAGGAGGAGGAGGAGGAGGCGAGTGCCGAGGGGGCCGCTCTCTCTCTCTCTCTCGGCGGGCTGACCGGGCTCCCGCTCTCGCCCCCCAACCCCCCCCTTCGGGCCGACGGATGTGGGGGGGATTGGGAAGGAGGGGAGGAGGAGGAGGAGAGGAGGAGGATGTAGGAGGAGGAGGGAGAGGAGGAGGAGCGGCGCGATCATAGAGGAGGAGGAGGAGGAGGAGGAGAGGAGGAGAGGTAGGAGGAAGGAGGAGAGTAGGAAAGGAGGAGGAGGAGGAGGTAGGAGGAGAGGAGGAGACGGAGGAGGAGGAGGAGGAGGAGGAGGCGGTGCCGAGGGGCCGCTCTCTCTCTCTCTCTCGGCGGGCGGCCGGGCTCCCGCTCTCGCCCCCCAACCCCCCCTTCGGGCCGGACGGATGGGGGGGGGCTTGGGGAAGGAGGAGGAGGAGGAGGAGGAGGAGGAG